CTGATCTCTTTCCTAGGTTTTCTATCTCCAGGGTTGTCTCCCTTTGAGATTTCTTTATTGTTTATACTTCCATTTTTAGATCATGAATGGTTTTGTTTAATTATTTCACCTCTTTGGTTGTGCTTTCTTGTTCTTCAAGGGATTTTTGTGTTTCCTCTTTAATGGCTTCTACCTGTTTACCTGTGCTCTCCTGTATTTCTTTAAAGGAGTTATTTATGTCCTTCTTAACATCCTCTATTATCATCCTGAGAAGTGATTTTTAAATCTGTATCCTGCTTTTCCAGTATGATGGGGTGTCCACGACTTGCTATGGTGTGAAAAGTGAACTCTGATGATGCCAGATAATCTTGGTTTTGTTGCTTATGTCCTTGTGATTTCCTTTCACCATCTGGTTATCTCTAGTGCTACCTGCACTCACTGTCTCTGACTGGGCCTTTCCTGTTATCTTGCTTGTGGCAGAACTCCTCAGAGTCCAGCTGTCTCTGTGATCCTGTGATCCTGAGATCCTTGGTAGAAGATTCCTGGGAGTCAGGCTGCCTCTGGGATCTTGAAATCCTGCTGCTCTGAGTACAGTGATTCCTCCATTCCTCTGAGTACAGTGCTTCATCTAGGATGGGTCAGGATATGGTGTCTTCATGGGAGCAGACCAGCTAGAACTCTGTCCCAACCAAAAAGACCAAGGGAGGGACAGAAGGGGAGTGGTATTCCAGAACGGGAGGTTTTGGGTGGCTGGTGGGTCCTGAGTGCCCCAGGCTCCTAGTTGTAGCTCTGAGGCATTGGGTTGTGGGAAAGGGTTCTTACCCATGCTCTGAGTGCAATGGTGGACAGGGTTAAGGTGTGATGGGTCATGAGTGCCCCGGGCTCCTAGCTGCAGCTCTGGGGCTTAGGTTTTGGGGGAAGGGTCCTTATCCACTGCTCTGAGTGCAGTGGTTTCTCTAGGATGGGTCAGTATATGGAGTTTTCAAGGGAGTAGACCATCTAGGAGTCTCCCTCAGCCAAAATGACCAATCGGGGGGCAGAAGGTAGTGGTATCTCTTCAGCTTTTTTTTTTTTTAACCCAAGAATCTGCTTAGTTCATTGTGGTTATGGGTATGGGCAGAACTTCCTATATTTGTAAGAGATCAGGATCCATGCTCCTAAACAAAACTGACTCTCCATTAGTCAGCAGCAATCTATACCAAGAGGATCTCAGGAATATTTAAAAGTTCCTTCCTCCATTTTCTATGCTTTAATTTAGTCTGGTTTGATTTGGCATGAGTCCTGCGCATGTACCTACAACTGTTGTCAACTTCTAGGTGCATTATCCTGCTGTGTCCAAAAAACACAGCTTGACTAGAGTAATCCACTGCTTCTGACTCTGACAATGATGCTGCCTCTATCCTGGATGATCTCTAAGATTTTGGTGGTTTTATAGTGATGTATGTGTTACATTTATGGGTATACATTCTGCAATCTCTTAATCTCTACACAGTGACAAACTGTGTTTCTGGGTTGGTCACCATCTACTTCAAGAAGAATCTTCTCTCATAAGGTTCAATAAATGCATCTAACCCTGTAACTCACACTAAAACTTTAGGAGATAGTTTAGTATTATAACATTTTAGAAGAATAAAAGCAGGAGAAAATCCCTAGGAAATATGAGCAACTAGACTGCCAGGTTTCAACACACTAACACAATTAGAAAGTGTACAATCAGTGCAGCTTACAATAAATACTGTAGAAAAAAACAAAAGTAATTTTAACTTGACAATTAAAAGAGCCTTATCACATGCCCTAACACTTGTTTGAAATCCAGATCCTGTCCCAACTTTATCTCTTGCTAACATAACATCATAGAGAACTGCCTCTAACTTCCAAATAAGTCTCTGAAAATGTCCAGATCCAACCTTCCTAATGAATACTGTTATTTCCAATATTGGATTGATTTATAGACCAGTACATGATTGAGTCTGAATAATTGGTCACATTTAAGAAAAATACAAGAGTCATTATAACTTCTCTTTTTTATTCTCTGTCCCACAAGGTCTAAAAACATTATGCAAGGCAACTTGTCCCTTCTGAGATATAGGAAAGCAAAAGTGAGTCAGGAACATATGTCCAATATAGTTTCCTAGTCACCATTGTCAGGGCACACAGCAACCTCACAGGTCAGCGTCATTTTTTGTCCAGGCATCAGCATGTCTCACCAATCTCTCTGGCAGCCACTGTAACAGTATATTTTTTCCTGCTACATTAAACTTGGTATTTTGGGAGGAGCTAATGTGGGAGGAGTAAGAAGAGGAAGAGGAGAAGGTAGAGGAGGAGCTAGGAAGAGTAGAGAGGAGGGAAGATGTAGGAGCCATGGAGCACCATGGGTCCAGGACCACCCTGGGTAACAACTTATATCTAGGTTAGGTAACTGGGTAATACCTCTAATTGTGTGAACATCTAGTTAGTTGAGCATTACAAAACATATAAAGTCTTTGTGTAATCTTTAAGCATTAGAATCTCATTTCTACCAGGTACCGCATGGATAGCGGGATGGTCTGGGCTCAGCCCAGCCTTGTGGAGACTGTGTGATAGATTGAAAGAGCCATCTTCCACATTGGTGTATCATCTGTGCCAGGGCTGGTGTTTCTGGGTGGCCGTTTCTAGCTGTGGTGTGGACGTGGCCTATGGCCATTTCTAGCTGTGGCACACGCATGGCCTCTGGCCAGGGAATATGACAGCAGAGCTAAGCATTTCCACCACCACTTAGATAGTTGGCCCAAGAAATAGCCTTTCTAAAATATTACCTTAATAAGCCACCACACTCCTGCAGCATCCTGCAGAAAACACAAGCATGCCATCTTCCTTATATTAGATACCTGGTCTGAATCATGCTATATTCCAGTAAGTGGATCCTTCCTTTTCACCTAGGTATAAGTATGCCTGGTTGAAAGGTGCCATAGACACTCAGCAGAAAGTTCCTTGGCATCCAAATTTAAAATATACAAATCCACTTTTCATTTTTTAAAGATGTTGTTTTAAAGTTTCATGGGCCTTTTCCATATTACCTTGTCCTTGAGGATTATAAGGAATCCTTGTAATAAATTGTTTACAAAAAGTCTCAAATGCTTGACTGCAATTGCCAGTTCCATTATCCATTTTTTATTGAATATTTTATTTACTTACCTTTTAGATGGTATCTTCTTTCTCCATTCCCCCTGAAATCCTTTATCCCATTCCCCCTCCTCCTTCTATGAGGGTGTGCCCCTATCCAACCATTCCTGTCTCCATGCTCTTGAATTCCTTGAAATTGGAGAATGCAGCCTTCCAGGTACCAAGGCCCTCCTCTCCCAATGATGTCTGACAAGACCATCCTCAACTACCTATACAGCTGGAGCCATGGGTCACTCCATGTGTGCTCCTAGGCTGGCAGTTTAGACACTGGGAACTCTGGTTGATTTGTACTGTCGCTCTCCCCATGGGGCTGCCAGCCCATCAGCTCCTTTAGACTTCTCTCTAACTTTTCCACTGGGGACCCTGTGATCAGTTCAATGGTTAGCTGCTAGCATCTGCCTCTGTTTATGTCAGGCTCTCGCAGAGCCTCTTATGAGGCAGGTATATCAGGCTCCTGTCAGCATGCACTTCCTGGCATCCACAACAGTGTCTGCATTTGGTGACTGCACATAGGATGGATCCCCAGGTGGAGCAGTCTCCAGACAGTTCCTCCTCCAGTCTCTGCTCTACACTTTCTCTCCATACTTGCTCTCCTTCTTCTCCTCCTACTCTCTATGTTTTCTTCTCTTCTTCTTCTTCTTCTTCTTCTTCTTCTCCTCCTCCTCCTCCTCCTCCTCCTCCTCTTCCTTCTTCTTCTTCTTCTTCTTCTTCTTCTTCTTCTTCTTCTTCTTCTTCTTCTTCTTCTTCTTCTTCTTCTTCTTCTCTCACTCCTCCTGCTCCTCCTCCTCTTCTTCTTCATCTTCTTCATCTTCTTTGTGGGCATTCATTGTCTCCTTCTTTCCTGATCCTTTCAGTCTCCCTCCTCATGGTAAGTTCGCTGTCCACATACTTGGAATCAGTGAACTCATCTGAGAGTTGCTTCTAAATGAACCTGCCTTTATATGCTTTAATCTGGCTTGAATTGACTTTTACCCATGGAGAATAACCAGCCATACAGTCTGTTTTGGCATTAATGGTCTCTTATTTTCTGTAAGCACATCTGTCCAAGAACTTCTTGATTTTATCATTTCAATCGCGAAGTTAGATGTAATTCTAATAGGTCTGGCTTTATGAATTACTTACTCTTTTTCTTTTACAGCTTTTAATACTGTTTATTTAAACCTTTAGTGTTTTAAATATTATGTGTCAAAGGAACTTTCTTTTCTGGTTCAGTCTATTTAGGGTTCTTCTTTTACTATTTGTTATTCTTCTTGTACTTTGATAAGCATCACTTTCTTTAGGTTAGGAAAATTTCATTCTAGGATTTTATTGAAGATTATCTGGGCTTTAATTTGTGTTTCTTTCCCTTTCTGTGGCCTGTAGTCATACCATCTATCTGTGGAAGGGCTAGTAGGGGCTTTGTCCTACATGACTGATGGCCATAGATCACTCTGTGGGGTGCTGTAGCTGGGTGAAAGGAGCCAAGGGCCCAAGAGCAAGGCCAAACCCTGACCTTCTTTGAGGGTCTCCAGGGTTGAAAGTCTACTCGACCAGGTACTCAGCTGCCTCTCACAGCCCCACACTCTTGAAGTTTTCATCCACCTCTGCACTAATATCAAATTTTCCCCTCAGAGTCACAACCATTATGGATACAAATATTGACAAGAAAAAGACTAGGAATTCTTTGGCTACACAATTACTTAGCAAATTGTCTCTAATACTACAACTTATTCCAATACACAGAACTGTTATTTTCACAAGGATGAAAGATGTTCTCAACACATAAACATACAGACACACACATACACATACACACACACACACACACAGAGAGAGAGAGAGAGAGAGAGAGAGAGAGGGGGGGGGGAAATAGACTCATATTTTGAATGCTGATTTTATTTTAGCAATGCAGTGATTAACAAGGTAGCTGTGCAAGGAGCAAGGGAGGCTGTTCAATTCAGAACAGTGAAAACATCTGAAAAGACAAGGTCATGCCTAGTCTCCTCATAATAGATAAAGTGAGGATAAAGTCCATTTGGGATTTATGCAAGGATTAGATTGCATTCAGGCAATACAGGCAGGCATTTTTATTCTCTTGGCACAGGAGACAGATGATCCACTGCCCCAGAGATGTCCTACCAACCTGTACTCTTACTGTCTAGTGGAGGATTTAGCTGATGAGTCTCTGAAACAGATTACATGCAACCTGAAAGACACAGCACAAAGTTATGAAAGGGACAATCATGAGATAAGAGGCCTTTCCTAGAAGTGAAGTGTGGACATAGTACCATGCATTAGAGAGGAGAGGGACAATTATCTCCAGAATTCCTCTCAGGTTATCTCAGAAGAAATCTCCATATTTCAATGTTTAAGAAGGATGTCATCTCAACACATGTTCTCATAAATTGTCTTCCCTGTTTATTCTGTGTTAATGACACTCTTACAATTTACTATGGCTTGTAATATAATTCTTTTATAACACTAACTAGTGATGGAAGCCAAGTGTGCAAAAGATTCTTAAATAAAAGGTTTTGTTATGAACACAAGTTAAAAGGTCATTTTGGTAAGAGAACTAAGTACTCTTGTATAATTCTTGTTATGTTCCCCCAAGAAGACAGTGGTATTATGAGGATGGCTGTCACAAGGAATCAGATACCTACAGTGAAAGTCAGTACCATTTTTGAATACTCTCATACATCTTGAAAATTAGGAAACTGTATGCCCCCATTGTTCACAAAGGAAATCCTGATTTCCTTTAGGATCTGAAAATTCTAGTAAGGACTTTCAGGCAATATCTTTCTCCCACTGGGGGAACAGCAATGGGATGAATTGAAAAGATTCTCCCTGTACTATGGTGATGTGCATGTTGAGGGTGTCTTTGAGTCAGTAAAGAGACATTTATAAACTATTACCATAATCTTGCTGTCACTTACTTTCACTATACACCCCGAGGGCTTTCTTCAGTGTAGAGGTTAGAGGGAATTTGCTTTGTTTACAGAAAGAGCCAGTAAAGTCATCCATCCCAAGGGTCCAAATCATGGCACCTCCAAAATTGTTCTGCTGAAGCCAGTTGGCCTGGTTAAGAAGAGAGGGCTAAATCATTTGGATTCTTGCCACTCAGGTGTGGGCCCTCAGTATATCCAAGGGACTGTACTTACCTTGATAAGGAAACTGTGGACATCATCATACCCAACCCACTCATCATCATGATATGCATAGGGAACATCCTGAGGCTCATCCCAGGCCTGAGTAGCTCCTTTGGCCAGGAAATCACAAACCTGTTAAAAGACGAAAGCTCTAATCCTTGAAATGTTATGGTATGAAAGAAAAATGTCATTTTACTTGATATTCTTTGTGCCTCAATTTTAATGAAAGTTATTTATTATTAAAGACATTGAGATACATTTTTAGTAGGGTTGAGCAAGAGTCCCCTGTTAGAAAAAATCACTGCAAATATACTATATTAAAGATCAACTTTCCTTTTTTTCCTTTTGTTTGCATTTAGTTTTGTCCCATTGTTTCATGTTCTGTTTTAGGTGTGCTTTAGGTGTATAGCATAGACTAAGTTTACACAAGTGCATTTCCTCCATATGTGGCTTGAATGTTGTCTACAGGTTTGAGAAATCACAGTTGCCAAATCTACTCAACCACAATTTTCCCCATACTGTACTAAAGATTGAACCCACAGTCATTTTCATTAAAAAAAAAAGGTGGGGGGAGGAGGGAGCTGGAGCACAGCTGAAAACCCATCTCACATTATTTTATATGCTCATTTAAGGTACAGATTTCAGCAGTCAAGTAACAGAATCCAGAGTAGTATGATACTTTTATTTTAATTTGCCTTTCCTCTAGGTTAATGTAGCTATACATCATGATGTGGCCTGTTATGTGTATAAATGCTGTTCAACTTTAAGTATTCTACAGGTGTATTAATGTAGAAATATGCAATAAAACATTTTACAAATTTAGAACTGATAAAAATGAATATTCAGATTGAGATGATACTACCATCCTGCCTCCAGATCCTGAGCTACAGCACAGTTCTGAGCCTGAAACTGAAACAACACTGGACATCCAATCTACTGACCTCATAATAGGCCAGGATCCCACTTTCTTGCGTGTAGGGGCCTTTAGGGCCAGGGCTTGAGGCTGGGGCACCAATTCCCTTGATAGAGGAGTCAGTCAAGGAGAAGGTCTGCGCATATGTTGGGAATCCAACAATAAGCTTCTCAGCTTCAGCCCCATTTGTCTTCCAGTAGTTCATAACGGAATCCTGAAACACAGCTGGGAATCAATAGATCCAGCCAGATGCTGAGTTGCTATTATATATGTTTACTCTTATATTCTAATAGTACAGATTCTGTGATTAAACATGGATTGATTCAATTTTTTCATAAAATATATCCCACTAAATTTATTGTTAATGTTTTATGACCAGTAGTTTGAGAAGATTGCTTATGCTGACTTTCTATTTATTTTATGTCTTAATATTTATTTAGGTTATCTCTAGTGTAATCTGAATTATAACTTTTTAGGGTCTTACCACATTACAGAAGGTGTTAGTGTCAGTTGGGTATTTGTAGAGGGGACTGTTTTCTCCAGTGACTCTCTCTTTATAGTCATGAAGATTATAAGTCATGACAAGGAAGTAGTCCAAGACCCTTGAGAGGAACAACTCTTAGATCATTTCTGATGTATATTTTTCATATTTATTCAGAAAAATGATATAATTTCCAAGACCTGTACACAAAGCACTAAAGCAGCAATTCCCCCTAAGAATTAGTGCCCTCTGCCTGAATTCCAAGAGGTAATAAAGAGTATGAAGGACCACTTACTGAGACAGCTGGGGGATCTCATAGGCAGAATCAATGGTGGAAATTATACCAGCTACTGTAGCAGTGACCATCAGCCTTGGCTTACTGCTTTGCATGGATTCCTGTTGAAAAGCTTCATACATTTCCTACAAAATATTTAGGTATACTGCACATTCATTTTTCCTATTCAAACTTATATATATGGGGATATATATATATATATATATATATATATATATTATAATTATTAAAATATTTTTTACACTTTGTTTCATCTTACTGTGACGCCTTTATCAATCAACTCATTAAACATTTGACATATATCTAATAAGTATGGATATCATAAAGTTTCACTATGCCCATCTAAATTTCTTATCTGGTCATCCAAAATCTAACTTTCAGCTTCCTGGTCAGAGCTTCTCCAAATCCCACCACACTGAAAAGTTTTGTTAGCAGGCTTTTCTCACAACTAGTTTTACATCGTAGTTAAAAAAAAAATCTGCTTTCTCTGAACCTGAAGTATGTCATGAAAGCAAGATTTCACAGAATGAAATGTACAGTTAGAATAATCCCATGAGGAAGTTAGTAAGGACTGGGTAACAAGTACAATTTTATTTCTGAGGAAATTCATATGAATTAAGGTCAGCTCTAATAAAAAATTAATTTGACATGAGGCAAATAATTTTCTAAGAGAATGCCCACAGACATTATCATATATATCCGTAGTCATTTGATTAAAAGGTTTTAAAAGATGGATAGATCAAAGAAAAAGGATTCAGTATCTGCCTTCAAATAATAAAACCATATATGTGATATTATATGTGCATTGATTTTGTGTTGTTCCAAGGGCAAATTGGCATCAAGGACCAGGAATCATAACTGTACTTGTAGACTGTTTTCCTTGAAAGTAAGAAGAATTATGTCTGACAGTTAGAGCTATTAAACAAAAGAAAACTATATTTCACTTGGTGTCTTATGTTAAAACTACTCAGAATAGCTGAGGATCTGGTGTTGGTGGTGTGTCACTAGAAGCATCTATCAGTGAAGATAAAGGTAAAGAATAAGAAAACAAATCTAGGTATCTATCCAAGAGTGGTATAGCTGGGTCTTCTGGTAGATCTGTTTCCCATTTTCTGAGAAACCTCCACTACGCCACAGGGTCACCTGTTCCACCATATTCATAGCAGCTTTATGTATGATATCCAGAAGCTGGAAGCAACCCAGATGTCCCACAACAGAAGAATGGATACAGAAAATGTGGTTCATTTACACGGTGGAATACTACTCAGCAATTAAGTATGAGGACATCATGAGTTTTATAGATAAATGGGTGGAACTAGAAAATATTATTCTGAGTGAGGTAACTGAGACTCAAAAGGTCATGCATGGTATGTACTCACTAACAAGTGGATATTATCCCCACAAGTACAGAACACCCAGGATTCAATCCACAAAACTCAAGAAGCTTAATAACCTGAAGGCTCCAAATGAAGATGCTTTAATCCCACTTGGGAGGAAGAATAAAGCAATCAGGGGAGATCTGTATAAGAAAGAGGATGGGGGAAGAAAAGGGGAACATGATCAAGTATTGTGAGGTAATAGGACTAAAGTCCTGAGGGTCCCAGATAGAATGGAAACAGGAAAACTAGGGAGGTAGGAGAACCCTTTAGAATTTACCAAAGATCTGGGAGATGAGAGTCCCTCAGGACTCAAAGGAAGGGATTTTAGATGAAATGTCCTACAGTGGGAGAGTGAACTTGAAGTGTCCACCACCAGGAGAAAGACATGATATCAAGTGGAAGGATGGGGTTGCCATCCCACAGTCAAAACCTTTGACCCAGAATTGTTCCTCTCTGAAAGAACTGCAGGGTCAAAAATGGAGAAGAGCCTGAGGGAAATGAGGTTTAGTGACAGGCTCAAAATGGATCCAGCTCAAGGGGAGGCCCCAAGGCCTGACACAATTACTGATACTATGATGTACTTGAGAGCCTAGCATGACTTCCCTCCAAAAGGCTAAAGAAGCAGCTGAAAGAGTAATATCCAGATACTTACACTCATCCAATGGACAGAAGCTGCTGACCCCTGTGGTTGAATTTGGGAAAACCTGAAAGAAGCTGAGGAGAAAGGCAACCCTATAGGAAGACAAGCAGTCTCAAATAACATGGACCCCTGACATTGCTCAGGCACTGAGCCACCAATCAGACAGTCAGCTTATAAGAGGCCCCCAACACATATATAGTAGAGGACTGCCTGGTCTCTACTTAGTGAGAGAAGAGGAACATAACCTTAAAGGGAGTGGGGAGATATGTTGGGGTGTGGGTCAGACATTGTCTTGGATACATGGAGGGGGATGTGGTATGGGATGTGGAATAGTCAGAGGGCAGACCATGAGGAGGATAAAGACTGAACTATAAAAACAATTTGAAGAATAAACTGAAAGGAAAGGAAAGGAAAGGAAAGGAAAGGAAAGGAAAGGAAAGGAAAGGAAAGGAAAGGAAAGGAAAGGAAAGGAGAGGAAAGGAGAGGAAAGGAGAGGAAAGGAGAGGAAATAAAAGGAGAGGAAATAAAAGGAAAGGAAAGAATTCTAGAAAGTAAAGATTCTGGGTTGCAAATGGATAGATGTGGAAACCATTTGTAGTCCTTGACTTTACATTATTTACTCATTTTGTTTCTTGGTCACCTACTGTTGATGATAACATCAGTAAAGTAGATTATCTCAGGTTCTTCTTCATGAACCATTGGCTAGTATTCATTCCAATCATTTTGGACTTCCAGATTTATCACACTCAGAAGGTTTGTGGATATTTATCAGTTCTTATTCAAAATCTGTGTTTACTGTCTTAGCTACCATAGTAAAGCTCGAATGATCCCATCAGAAACACGAGATTCTCAATTTGTCCACAAAATGCTTCCAAGATTCTATTGACACTGTCTTTGTTATATTTTTGTATACCTCAGTTTTCCAACTCTTGTTTGGTACAGATTTAACTTTTACATTGTTGAACTTCTATAATAATAGCCAGAAGTTGGAAAGAACCCCAAGGTCTTTCAACAAAGGAATGGATACAGAAAATGTGGTACATTTACACAATGGAGTACTACTCAACCATTAAAAACAATGACTTCTGAATTTCCTCAGTTTCCATTGTTATGTCTCCCTACTCAACTAAATTGAAAAATCTGAATGAAATGGACAATTTTCTAGACAGATAACATGTGGCAAAATTAAATCAGGATCAGATAAACCATCTAAACAGTCCCATAACCCCTAAAGAAATAGAAGCATTCATTAAAAGTCTACCATACAAAATAAACCCCAGGAACAGATGGGTTTAGTGCAGAATTCTATCAGATCTTCAAAGATGACCTAATAACAATACTCTTCAAACTGTTCCACAAAATAGAAAAAGAAGGAACATTACCTAATTTGTTCTATGAAGCCACAATTATACTTATACCTAAACCACACAATGACCCAACAAAGAAAAAGAATTTCAGACCAATCTCCCTTATGAATATCAATGCAAAAATACTAAATAAAATTCTCACAAACCAAATCCAAGAACACATCAAAACAATCCTTCACCACAATCGAGTAGGCTTAATCTCAGGTATGCAGGGATGGTTCAGTATATGGTAATTTGCCAACATAATCCACTGCATAAACAAACTCAAAGGAAAAAAACACATGATAATTTCATTAGATGCTGAAAAATCATTTGATGCAATACAACAACCCTTCATGTTAAAAGACTTGGAAAGGTCAGGAATTCAAGGCCCATACCTAAACAGAAAAAGCAATATACAGGAAACCCATAGCCAACATTAAACTAAATGGAGATAAACTTGAAGCAATCCCGTTAAAATCAAAGACTAGACAAGACTGCCCACTCTCTCCCTATCTATGCAATATAGTACTTACTTGAAATTCTAGTCAGAGCAATGAGACAACAAAAGGAAGTCAAAGGGATACAAATTAGAATGGAAGTGTAGAACAGTAACAGGATGGTTGGCTTTGGTCGAAGCACTGGCTGGAAATAACCCGGAGACCCAACAGGTGTCCATTGCCTGTGAGGGATGAGCATATGTTCTGATGTGCTCCCAGAATCCAGGCTACTGACACTTGGTGTGATCTCCATTTGATCTGCACCTTGCAGTCACATTTGGCTAGGGAGGGCATGACTACAGGCTTCAGCCTCGAGAGATTTCCATATTCATGATTTACCTAAAGGTGGGCGGGGGGCATAGCTAAATTAAGCTATTGCTTTTCCCAGCCCCTCTTTTTTCCCCTACCTATTTAAGTCAGGCTCGCCCTGGCTTAGATTGGGGGTTGCACATCCAGATCCAACTACCACACCATGGCAATAAAACTCTTGGAACCCATGGACTTCTTGTATTATTGGGGCCTGCCATCGCCAAAGCTTCCAGCCTTTGGATCACCTGACTTTCTCAAGTTATTGGGACCAGCTGACACAGAAAGCACCCCCCCAGGTTTCCATCACAGTTTTTTCCACAAGGAAGAATTCAAAATAACACTATTTGCAGATGATATGATAGTATAATTAAGTGATGCCAAAAATTCCACCTGAGAACTCCTAAAGCTGATAAACAACTTCAGCAAAGTGGCTGGATATAAGAATAACTCAAATCTGTAGCCTTCCTATACTCAAAGGAAAACAGACTGAAAGAAATTAGGAAAACAATACCCTTCACAATAGTCACAAATAATATAAAATACCTTGGTGTGAGTCTAATCAAGCAAGAGAAAGATCTGTATGATAAAAATGTTAAGTTTCTGATGAAAGAAATCAAAGATTATCTCAGAATATAGAAGTATGTTTCATGTTCATGGATTGGCAGGATTAACACAGTAAAAATGCAATATAAAATAATATAAAAAACATAGTAAAAATGCAATTTCAAAATTCAATGCAATCCCCATCAAAAGTCCAACTCAATTCTTCATAGAGATAGAAAGAGCAATTCTCAAATTTATCTGGAATAACAAAAACTCCAGGATAGCAAAAAACATTCTCAACAATATAATACCTTCTGGGAGAATCACCATCCTTGTTTTTAAGCTGTAGTACAGAGCAATAATAATATAAAACTGCATGGTATTGGTACAGAGACAGGCAGGTAGAACAACGGAATAGAATTGAAGACCAGGAAATGAACCCACACACTTATGATCCCTTGATCTTTGACAAGGAAGCTAAAACCCTCCAGTAGAAAAAAAGACAGCATTTTCAACAAATGGTGCTGGTTCAATTGGAGGTCAGCATGTAAAAGAATGCAAATTGACCCATTCTTATCTTCTTGTACAAATTCCAAGTCCAAGTGTATAAAGGTCATCCAAATAAAACCAGATACCTGAAACTAATAGAGGAGAAAGTGGGAAAGAGCCATGAAAACATGGGCACAGGAGAAACTTTCCTAAACAGAACACTAATGATTTCTGCTCTGAAATCAAGAATCAATAAATGAGACCTCATAAAATTGCAAAGCTTCTATAAGGCAAAGGACACTGTCAATAGGACAAAATGGCAACCAACAGATTGGGAAAAGATCTTTACCAATCCTACATTCAATAGAGGATTAATATCCAATGTATACAAAAACTCAAAAATTAGACTGCAGTGAATCAAATAACTCTATTACAAAATGGGGTACAGAGCTAATAAACAAAGAAATCTCAACTTAGGAATACATAATGGTTGAGAAACACCTAAAGAAATATTCAACATCCTTAGTCACCAGGGAAATGCAAATCAAAACAACCCTGAGATTCCACATCACACCAGTAAGAATGGCTAAGATCAAACAAACAAACAAAAATACCCAGGTTCCAGAAGATGCTAGTGAAGATGTAGAGAAAGAGGAATACTCCTCCATTGTTGGTGGGATTGCAAGATGGTACAACCACTCTGAAAATCAGTCTGGTGATTCCTCAGAAAATTGAACATAGTATTACCTGAGGATCCAGCTATAACCACCCGTGGGCATATACCCAAACATTCTCCAACATATAACAAGGACACATGCTCCACTATGTTCATAGCAACCTTATATATAATAGCTAGAAGCTGGAAAGAACCCAGATATCTTTCAACAGAGGAATGGATACAGAAAATGTGGTACATTTTCCCAAAGGAGTACTACTCAGCTACTAAAAACAATGACTTCATGAAATCCTTAGGCAAAAGTATGGAACTAGAAAATATGATCATAAGTGAGGTATCCCAATCACAAAAGAACATACATAGTATGTACTCACTGATAAGTATATATTAGCCTAAAAGCTCATAATACCCAAGACACAATTTACAAACCACATGAGGCTCAAGAAGAAGGAAGACCAAAGTATGGCTGCTTATGTCCTTTTTAGAAAGGGGAACAAAATATTCACTGGATCAAATAAAATAGTGAGGAGCAGAGACTGAAGGAAAGGCCATCCAGAGACTGCCCCACCTAGGGATCCATCCAATATACAGTCACCAATCCCAGACACTATTGTGGATGGCAAGAAGTATATGCTGACAGGTGTCTGATATAGCTGTCTCCTGAGAGGCTTTGCAAGAGCCAGACAATACAAAGGAAGACGCTCTCATTCAACTACTGGACTGAGCATGGGATACCCAATGGTATCCCCAGTGGAAGAGTTAGAGAAAGGACTTAAGGAGCTGAAGGGATTTGTAACCTCATAGGCCCATAGGAAGAACAATAAAAACAACCAACAAGACCCCTCACAGCTCTCAGGGACTAAACCACTAACCAAGGCATACACATGGAATGACTCATGGCTCCAGCTGCATATTTGGCAGAGGATGGCCTTGTCAGGAATCAATGGGTGGAGAGGCCCTTAGTTCTGTTAAGACTCAATGCCCCATTGTAGGCAAATTCAAGGGCAGGGAGGTGGGAATGAGTGGGTGGGCAGAACACCCTCATAGAAGCAGGGGATAGGGCATGGAATGAGGGGGTTTCAGGGGTGGGAACCAGGAAAGTTGATAACATTTGAAAAGTAAATAAAGAAAATATCCAATTAAAAAAGCCAATGACTTCATGAAATCTCAGGCAAATGGATGGAACTTGAAAATACCACCCTGAGTGAGGTAACACAGACACAAAAGAACACAGATAACATGTTATTACTGATAAGTGGATACTAGGTTAAAAGCTCGGAATACCCATGATACAACTTACAGACTATATGAAGGCCATGAAGAAGTAAGACCAAAGTGTGAATACATCAGTTCTACTTAAAGGGGGAACACAGGAGGTACAAGGTGGAAGGGATTTTGGAGGAATAAAGAAAGGGGAGAGGAAAAAAAGAGGGAGCTGTATCAGGTGTGATAGGAGACAGGGGACATGTACAGAGAGTCAGGAAACTGAACAGAGATGTGTAGCAATGGGAGAATAGAAAACTAGGGGTAGCCACTAGAAAGTCCCAGATGCCAGGAAAGCAAAGGGCTCCAAGGATCCAACAGGATGACATTAGCTGAAAGACCCAAAAAAGAGGAGAAAGAACCTGTAGAGACCATATCCAGAGGTTAAGCATGGCCCCTGGTTGAGGGATGGGGCCACCCACCCTTCTCAAAATTTTAACCCAGAATTACTCTTATCTAAAGGAAATACAGGGACAAAGAGTGGAGCCAGAACTTCTCCACCTGTGGATCCATCCCATATGCAGACACCAAACCCAGACACTATTGCTGATGCCAAGGATGCTTGCTGATAGGAACCTGATATGGATGTCTCCACAGATGTGGAAGATTACATCCAACCATCTGACTGAGCATGGGGACCCCAATGGAGGAGTTAGGGGAAGAACTGAAGAAGCTGAAGGAGTTTGCAACTCCATAGGAAGAACAACAATATTAACCAACCAGAACCCCCAGAGCTCCCCAGGACTAATCCACCAACCAAAGAATACATATGGTGGGATCCATGGCTCCAGCTCCATATGTAGCAGAGGACAACCTTGTCAGGCATCAATGGGAGGGGAGGCCCTTGGTCCTGTGAAGGCTTGCTGCCCCATCAAAGGAGAATGCCTGTGCAATGGGGTGGGAGTCAGTGGGTGAGTGGGTTGGAAAGCACCTTTGTGGAGGCAGGGGGAGGAGGTGTGGGATAGAAGGTTTGGAGGGGAATCTAGGAAGGGAGATAACATTTGAAATGTAAATAAAGAAAATAACCAATAAAATTTTTAAATAAATAATTCTAAATACTTGAATACATACAAAGTACCCCATTATCAGATGCTAGGCATTTTTCAAATGCATCTTCTACCCAAGGTGAATACATATTTGCTTACATAGATCCCTATGTCACATCCCTAACATGTCTATCCTGACCTTAGTGGATAATACCTGAGCTTTTCAAACCTTAGATCAAGTATCAATATAGGAATTTCTTTCTCATCCTGATATATCACAGACTTGGTTAATGAGCTGTAAGAAATTTTGCACCCCTTAATCATTTTAATTATCTAAATGAGCTGTGACTGTGTCAGTGTATGTCAGGATTCCAAATCAGATATGCATTTTTTAAATCTAATGATACTCAGTCTTCTCAGTTTTGGCCTTGTCCCAAAATTTTTCATAAACCATACCTTACTCATTAATAAAAAAATTCTCATATAATTGGTCCAGCCATTGAACTTTGTAATCAGATTGCTCTGGTAGTTACAACATTCAGTATCTTCATGCTCTCAAATGAGCCACTTATAAATTTTCTATACTTTACTTAGTCATTTGTGGATTAAAGACACATGTTAAGGGTACCTTTAAGATAGAAAATGTGAAGATAAATTGTGGTTATTTTTAAAACACACAGAGTAATGTATTTATATAGCTGGTTTCAGTAATGCATTGCAATATCTAAGAATCTTGGTGACACTCAAACCCTAAACTATTGTTAGACTTCACTCAGCAACACTTCTTAGAAATAACATACTTTTGTTCTCAAGCTCAAAATATTTTCTCCTTTTCCTCACCTGCACCAGGACAGTGAAGAGATGCTTGTCCTCAGGAGAGCCCCCCGGTGACCCAGGGTATTGCCAATCCAGATTCAACCCATCAAATCTATACTTGCGAAGGAAGTCAATAACTGAACTGATAAAAGTCTCACGGAACTCAGGAGTGGACACCATGTATGAAAAACTGAAGAAATCCATCAAAGTTAGTGTAAGGCCTTGAGATGGACACATTAAAAATAATGTGAATAACTTAAATTTTTCCTTTGACCCCTTCCCCCAGCTTCCCTGGTTTCCATCTACAACCTTCCATAACAATGGCTCTTCCTATTTTACCATGGCATGATTTTCTTGTCTCTGTGATTCCAAATTGCCTGTGACATTGTTAGTAATCAGATACCAGACTTAACCATGTTTATTTATTTTCAAAATGCCTTCCAAATACAAGACACTCAACAAATCTTATACATAAGTTGCCCTTTTATTTCCTTCTTCAGAAGACAGAAAAGGAGAATTTTTTTACATCTTCTGTTCACAAAATTTTTAAGAAGAGGAGGCTCTTCTGAAGGCATAAACATACAGTTCAGAGGATTCTGCTCATTCATGTCATTGCAAACTCAAATATTTGAAAGCCAGAGTAGTCTTTCCAATATGTTCCACTTACTATTAAAGCTCTACAGGAAGTTTTGATTGAATTTCAACATTCATGAATAGATATCCTTAACAACCTTGCTAGTGTTGTGAAGAAACTGTAGACATGGACTAGGTTGTATCAAAGCAAATAGAACAAAAACTCTGAAAAGAGAACTCACGGTGCAGGTCCCATATCACTGCCTCCAATGGCCAGAAGAGTTTTCAGCTCAATGTTCCTTTAAAGAAGAAGTAAAGATAAGGATTTCACAATCCGTGGGTCTCTGGTTATAAAGTAGCACTGTTGTTTGTAATATTGCTCATGTTATTCAGTGTTATCTAACATAACACAACATACTATAGGTTAATTGTTCATATGCCTGAAAGTTCTCTGTTTTGTGATAAATAGGGTCCAAAGCCCATAGGATATAATCCAATTTTCAATCTGATTTTCTGGAGGTAATAACTACCTGGCACTTATATTTCTATAATGGAAAAGTAAACTTAGATTATATTCTTTAGCACAACTAATTTTGTTCAGTTTTCAAATATGTACAACAAAATATGAAATGTTACATAATTCTTTGTTATCTACACTTGGCTCCTGGAACAAAAGGGTGAACATCATTTGCTGTTATCTGGCTTTAAATAAGGTCATCTCCACATACATAACAAGAAAGTTGACTTCCAGTGTTACACTATATGCAAAAGTCATTTGTAATTGAAATAAAGATGATGTGTATTTGTGGAATGATTAGAATAAAGTATTAATAGATCTCTGTAACAGTGCTGGTGCAGTGTTTTTCTTAATATGAATGCAAATCAAAAACAACAAATTCCCAAAGGAACAGTGGGATTGAATCCTTAAGGTAAAAAAAAAAGAGAGAGAGAGAGAGAAGGAGAGAGAAAACAAAATAGTAAAAGAAGTTTGGAATAGAAGAAAATATTTGTCAGCCATTCGTATAACAGGTTTAATTTGAAATGATGTGAGGAACATTCAAGATCCACTTAGATGAAGAAAGGCAGTCCTTCTTTATCCACCATCTGCAACTTTTTGCCCTTTTGAGCTCACTGAGGCCACAGCACCCATTCAAAGATCATGGTAGATACCATCAGGTACCATTTCAAAGTGAAATTCCTATAACCTTTCCTGTCTCCTATAGCCCACTGAACTATTCCTGAGCCAGGCAATACTGAGTAAGTCAATCATGTCAAACTCCATGTCTATACATCCTTCTTTAACTCTAAAGAATGCTGGAGCTTCCCAAACACTAGTGATCCAGCTCATCCCAGATCAGAAACACACTCCATCCTCACCCCAGTGTCCTATCTCATGAAATTCAGAATGGCTGTCATTAAATAATCAAAAGACTATACATAATGGTTTATATGGCAAATAAATGCCACTGATGTATATTTAAATTGGTACAGCCAGTCTAAAATTTTTACTGATAAGCCACAAGAGTTCTAAGAATTCATCCTACATAATGTAGATCTCAATACTTGCAATCTCTGTTCCTTACAACTCTATACAATAGCTATGTAAAAGAATCACTTAACATTACATTAAGTAACAAAAGTATAATGAAAATTTGGTACATTTTAGGCAGCTATACAATAAAAGAAAAATGTAAAATTTTCAGAAAAAAACAATAAAATTGGAAAGAATTATAAATATACTGAGAGAAGTAACGCAGGTAGAGAAAGATGAGTGTAGCATATTGTCTTTCGTATATTGATATAGCTCCATAGTTTTCTGGTATTTGCTTTTAATAACTTAAAAATTCAACAGAAGAGGAAGGAAATGGATTGTATAGGCAAGTCAAACCAATACAGACAATTCCAAAAAGCTTAAATGAGTATAAAGAGGAATATACTGATGGTGTAAATTTTCACCAGGGAGATGTGTATAAGTTGAGAAAATAAGGGGAAACAGAGGAAAGAGCATTACAAAAGTGAAATGTGTATGACAGAGCCACTGCATAATCTACTATTGGGAAACACAGTTAAACTGGGGAAGTTTGAAGACAGGAAACCTACAAGATGAAACAGTGCATGGCAACAGGAAAGGAGTCATAAAATAAAAACTCACTCAAAGTATAAGGACCTGTCTACAAGAGTCACGAATTAATGAGTCCACAGGGGCTGCAAAACAGTACAAGATCTTGCCAATATTCTTGGTTTCACTTATGAAACTACATGATGAGACCATTAGGCCAAGTAGAAAATAAAAGGTTAAAAAGTTTTGATGAGAAAACAAAATCACAGTGAGATAAGGATAGATTCTAGAATGCTATATCAAGGAATTCATTGATGAAAAAGAAAATATGTAAGGATACATGCCAATCATCCTATAAAACATTCTAAAACATAGACTGGATGCAAAGTTTGTGTGGTAAAACTCCATAATCTCACTCAATTAAAATATAGAAAAGCAGGTATTGGCTGGGTCCACATGCCAAAAAAAAAAATTAACTTCTGAGCTACTTTTTTAGAAGAATTGATGTGTGACAACTATTACAAATAAAGACACCAAATTAGACATCTCTGCCCTTCTCTGACCTGTTTTTTAGTGTATTTAAAGTTTGATAGTCAGTCAAGAAATCCACCCTTTGGGGGATGATCCTGTTGTTCTTCATCCCAGCAAAGGCATAAATGAGGTGAGTACACAAGCAGGGGTCGATATCTGCAGGACTGAATCTGCCCATTCCTGGCCTGGCCTTGGCCACATTGTTGTAGTAGCACATCAACTGGTAGGAAGAACCTGTGGAAGCTGAAAAGTATAAAGAGCAGTCTGCTGTTAGATGACAGTGAAATCTGCTGATATTTTGGCTTTTCCTCTTTCCCTTTCTGTGTCTCAGATACTTTTCATCCCAGAGAACTTGATTATATGAACACTCATGAACATGAGTCCAGAGATTTCATCTTAAGTGTCAAACTCTGACTTGATCTTTTTTATTTAGAGTTGGTGAATATCGATGTTCAGAGATTGCATGAATATAGTAGCTTACATTTCCTGTGAAGCTCTACACTTAGCAGTTTCTTAATTTCCAGACAGGCATACTAATGAAAACAGTACAGAGAGCTTAACTAAGAGTCATTCCATGATAACCTGTCTCTTTACCTGGTTGGTTTATCTCTTCATATTGTTCTATAAGTATACTAATATGATATAATTTTAAAAGCACACATAACAAGCAGACATCTAGCATAAAAATAAATTTGGTTACTTGATATTTATGATCGACAAAGACTGTCAATAAAATAAGGGAACATCACTAACATACCTAGCAGAACATTCAGCAGAAATGCCAAACCTAGAGAAAGAAAAAACATTTACTGAGGCAGCTGTAGGAATCCTTAAGAATTCTGAGAAATTTGATCAGTTCTACTAGAAGTAGATTGGTACAATACAGAGGAAAATTCACATCTTTACTAAGGGTTGCACTTTCTATTAACATTCATACCATTCCTGATATTATTTATACATTCAGAAAACAAGGAAAGAAGCTCCTGCTCCCCCTTCTGTGTCATAATTGAGAATTATTTTTGTCAAAAATAAACTGTCTATACTCACAACATGCTATGAAATTTATACAAATTGGTTTTCTCTGTGACTCAACATCCAGAAGTGCCTACCCTGCCAGAGGCATGGTGATCCCAGACTTCTAATACCAGAGGCATACTCAAGCATCAAACAACACCAACTATAGATGAGGTTTATTGGAGGCATCTTTGAAGACTTTTTTCCATAGACAATATGATGTGAGAATCCACAAGCCTATTCTGGGCTTCCAAATAAATCCCTTTTAAATGGATTTTATCTTGCATTTTGTTTTGGTTGTTTGCCAGCACTCTTACTATGTAGCCCAGTCTGGCCTTCAACTGAGACCCTCCGAACTGTGGTTTCCAATACATGAAATGATAGACATCCAACATTAACATGGTGTCCAATCTCTGAGTTGCTTATGCTTACACATTGAACTTAGGATCATTTGAATATATTCTACATCTTAACAAATTTGGCAAAAATAAATTTAGAGCAACTAACAGATTTACAATGCCATGACTTCAGTAAGAACTGACACAATCTCTTTAAATGCTCCAATCCTCAAGACTGTCACATTTATGTCACCTGTGCCAAATAGTCAAGGACAAGTGAAGGAAATATCTCCAAAGGAACAAATAATACTTGGATATCTCTAGCTTCTCCCACTCATTTTCATCTCTGCAAAACTCTAGTTTCAAGACACTAACAGACAGGTAAGCACAATTGCAACATCAGGCAGCAGGTAAACAAAGAGTAGCTGAGAGAATGAATAGCTACAAAAAATAAAAAAGATTACAAGCATTGGACATGAGTAAGACTTTCTTCTAGGACAGTGGCATTAATATCAAAGAAGCAGAAGTGTCACAGTAGCCCATTGTAGAAGAACATGAGAAATCTTGACTAAGTAAAAAGAGAGAAGTCAATTCATAATGGCAGAATCTGTACTGTGAAATATGCTCCATGGTTGTCAGATCATGAGATGAGAGAAAACCAGGCAAGACTGAGGGTCTCCACTTGATTATCAACTCACCTATGACAAGAATTAGCCTAGACATGGTGCCTTCAGGACTGCTAAAGCAGAGCCTCCCTGAGCTTTTTATACATCTGAGACCCTGATTATCTCAAGGGTTTTCAGGTGGAAAGCAAACACTTAATATATGTGTGAGTGACTAATCAGTAAATCTACAGATGTGTGTATAATATGTCTGAGCTCCTTCAGTATCCTAACACAATCACCATTGTTTCCACCATTTATTGAAAAACAATGCCATGTCTTCTAGAATTATGGTGTATTAAATAGTCCTAGGGAACATTCATTCAATCAGTATCTCTGGGTAAGCAGTCTGTCACATAATACCTCCTTAAGATTTGTTGTGCAGATATTTTATATCTGGAATTGACTAGCATTCTTATTGAAAGGCAAATAATTCTGTGGAAGTTACTAGCTTTTTCAAACAAATTTTTTTTCCTGGAACTATTACCACAGAAGCCTTAAGTGTCCACTTGATATAACAATAGACAACAAGGAAATCCTAAGAATTATAAAGGCATACTTTAAAAAGCAGCATTCCACCAGGTTAGAAAATATAAAAGAAGTAGATGATTTTCTTGAAAGGTACCACTTGCTAAACTTAAATAAAAACCAGATATGCAATTTGAACAAATCTTTAACCTCTAGTGAAAGAGAAGCTGTCATTAAAATTTTCCCAACAAAATTTTAATTATTCAATTATTCAGTAAATATAGTTCACATATAATCAAACTGAAATACAAAACTACATTATCATCTTGTTAGATACAGAAAATGCATTTTATGCAATCCATTGCTCCTAACAGAAAAAAGATCTGGAGATATTTGTGATACAAGGCTACATAGCTAAACATAATTAACTTAAATGGAGAAAACCTCAAAGTAATTTAACTAAAATCTGGAACAAGGGAAAGTTGTCTAGTCTCTCAATACCTAATCAATACAATCCTTGAAGTCTTTACTAGAGCAATAAAACAACTGAAGAAAATCAAAGAGGGAAGCTTGACTCCCAGGGGCTCTGACACACCCAGGATCACAAGTGAAGCCAAATATCTGCCCAACACCGGATGTAACTAAGATCCCTGGAATCCAGGGACACAGGAACAGGCTTTATCTGGTTTGAACCTGTACCATGAACTGAACAGGCCTGGGGTGCTGTGTCCCTACCATCCATTCCCACAATACCCAGAAGAAGCTCAACTCCTGACACACCCAGGATCACAGGATCTCAGAAGCTGGGACAAACAAGAAGCTCAGCATCCCAGAGGCAGCTTGATTCTCAGGAACTCTGAAAACACTGAGGATTTCAGGATTACAAAACCTCAGATCACAGGATCACAGAAATAGCTGGACTCTGAGGAGTTCTGATATAATCAGGCTCACAGGATGAACAAGGTCTAGTTAGAGACAGCCAGGGCAGTTAGCACTACAGATAACCTGATGGGAAGAGACAAGCACAAGAACATAAGTGTCAGAAACCAACTCTATGTGATAACACCAAAATCCAGTTCTCCCAACACACAAAGCCTAGATAACCCAATACACTTGTAAAGCAAGAATCAGATTTAAAGTCCCATCACATGAATATAATAGAGGACTTTAAGAAGGACATAAATAATTCATTTAAAGAAATACATGAGAGTCTTCCAGTCTGCATCGGTGTCCTGAGCAGACCTTGAGCATCACCTCTGCACCCAATCCCACAAAACTCAAGAGAAGGCTGGACTCCCAGGAGGTCTAACACACAGGAACATAGGCTCATAGGATCACAGGATCTCAGGAGATTGGTCACACCAGGATTTCAGGATCCCAGAGACAGCCTGACTCCAAAACCTCCTACACCCAGGATCTCTGGATCACAGAGACAGCTGGACTCTGAGAAGTTCTTACAAAAACAAGATAAGGAAAGAGACAGGCTCCAGTCAGAGACAGTGAATGCAGGTAGCACTAGAGATAACCAGATGGCAAAAGGCAAGTGCAAGAACATAAGCAACAGCAACCAAGGTTATTTGGCATCATTAGAACCTAGTTCTCCCACTGTAGCAGGTCCTGAATACCCCATCATGCTGAAAATTCAGATTTAAAATCACTTCTCATGATGATGAAAGAGGACTCTAAGAAGGACATAAATAACTCCCTTAAAGAAATACAGGAGAACACAGGAAAACAGATAAAAACCCTTAAAGAGGAAACACATACACACACACACACACACACACACACACACACACACACGAAACAACAACAACAAAAACAAAAAAAAACAAAAACAAAAACAAAAACCTTTAAAGAACTGCAAGAAAACACAACCAAACAGGTTAAAGAATTAAACAAAACCATCCAGGACGTAAAAATGGAAGTAGAAACAATAGACAAGTCACAAAAGGATGCTGTGGATAGCCCCAGCCTTGTATTTTGATGCTAATTCTACTTTCCTGGGAAAGGCTGCAGAGGAGGAGTGAATCAGTACACAGGTGATTTCTTGTGAGCCTTCTGTCCACCTTAATTTGTAAAATAAAGGCTAGAGCCAGTGATTGGGCAGTAGAAGTGGAGAAAAAGGCTTGGGAGAGGAGAGAAAGAGAGAGAGGGGGGAGGGAGGGAGGGAGGGAGGGAGGGAGGGAGGGAGGGAGGGAGAGAGAAGAAGGCAGTGGAAGAGGGAGGCAACAGAAGAGGAAGTCGACAGGGGAGGAATACAACAAAGGAGCAGGAGGTGGAAGGACAATGGAGGAGAAAACCTCAAGTTAACAGGTATCTCATAGCTGGAAAATAGAGTAGTGTAGTGGCAACTCTGCCCAATCTAGGCGTGCAGTTTATATCCATATTTATTAAGTTGTTTTTTCCTTGACTGGTCTTATTTGGGTTGGAGAATTAACACAACAAAGGGAGACTACCGTGGAGATAGGAAACCTAGGAAAGAGATTAGGAACCATAAAAGCAAGCATCACCAACAGAATACAAGAGATAGAAAGAGACAGTCAAGTGCAGAAGATACCATGAAAAACATTGACGAAACTGTCAAAGAAAATGCAAAATGCAAAATCTCCTAACCCAAAACATGCAAGAAATCCAGGACACAATGAGAAGACCCAACCTGAGGATAATAGGTATAGAAGAGAGTGAAGATTCCCAACTTAAAAGGCCAGTAAGTATCTTGAACAAAATTATGTAAGTAAACTTCCCTAACTGAAGAAAGCCGAGGCTTGTGCTGGCAACATTCGCCATTGCAAGATGGCGCTGGCATCCGGTGCTCCTCCAAGTAAACAAGTAAACTGCGCATGTGCTACGGTAAAAGCGCGCCAAAGTCAAAGCCCATCCCAGGGCGTTTTGTCGGGCAACGAGTAAGCAGCCAATCAGAACTGAACACGCTGCTCCAAGGGTATATAAGCAGTGCCTTTTCTGGGCCTGGGGTCTTCCTCCATTTTCTTTTGGAATAAACGTTTCCTGCGGAAGGATCCTGGTGTGTTGCCGTGTCTTCCTTGCTGGCGAGGTGGGCGCGCGTCACAAGTGGTGCCGAAACCCGGGAGATTCACCATCACCGGCGCCAAAGAGACCCCCGTTTATGGGAAGGGTTCAGAACCACAGGACCAAGGTAAAGCTCTGAGAGACATGTTTGGACTTGATCTATTTCGTCTCCCTCCCCAGGCGGCATTCGTTCTCTTCCTTCTGGTTTTGCGGGATGAGAAATGCCACTCGACTGTAGTGGCAGGCCAGGGAGTGCTAGACGGATTACAGGCCAGCGGGTCAGAAACAGAGCAGCATAAGCGCTTAGGAGTTCAGAAAAAAAAGAGAGCTCAGAAGGCATGCCTAAGTAAACAGACCCTTCCCAAGACACTCAGTCCGCGGAAGGGAGAGGTAAGGGAAAGCACGCCCTTGGGTGAGTTGAACACGAAGGAAAGAGAAGCCTCCAAAAGAAAATCTCTTTATCCGGTAAAGGAGCAGGAGGTTTTGGGGCTTGGTGGCTCTGAGTCAGAGGAGCTAACTTCCTCCGAGGCGGAAGACTTAGACGAAGAGACAGATGAGGAGGAAAGATGCCAGCCAGATGAGCGGTTGCCGCCGCGAAATTTAAAGCAAAGGAAAACTGGAGATAGGAGCTGCATGGCCTCTTGGCCTGTCGCGCCCTCCCAACCTAATGTTCCCAGCGCACTTCTGCCTTATGCGGACAAGTGCTGCTCAGACTCCTTCCTTTCAGAGGAAGACAAAAGAAGGATGTTACAAGCCTTTCCAGTATTTGAGGACGAGTGGGGAGGCAGTGTCCACACACCTGTAGAGTATGCCTCTATCAAAGAATTTGCTGAATCAGTTAACAAATATGGAGTTAATGCTAATTTTACAGTTATGCAGCTTGAGAGATTTCCCACTATGACAATGACTCCGAATGATTGGCAAAATACAGTAAAAATACAGTAAAAGCTGCTCTCCCTAATATGGGAGAGAGAGAGAAAAGGTTTTAGAAAAACAGTTGTCCTCTCTCTGAGCTGTGTCAACAAAAAAGAATGTAAAGGCTATTTCAGAGCTCATCTAGAAAAAGAAAGAAATTTGGGAGACGTCCTGAATTTCTCTTTATTTAGCTCCTAGATGTCCTTCTTTGTTGTCTGTCCTTGGCGCGCCAATGTCCACGTGTTTGTGTTTGTCTTTTGTTTGATTGTCTAAATGTTCTGTGTTTGTTACATGTTCAAAAGAAAAGATCATTAAAACTGCTTGATCCAACTCTTGGGCTAGTTTACCTTTGTTTTAAAGGCAGTCTTAATTTACACAACAGAGGCTGATAAGCTACCCTACACCTGTAGCTAAGAGTTGAGCTGAGCTGAAAAAGCCTTTCCAGGAATTGAAGTTGGCATAAGCTGCTTTTAAAAGAGACCAGTAACTTTTTGGGTTTTATAAGGAAGCTAAGAGTTGTTTTGTCCTAGAAAAATCTCTGTGACAAGGTGCTTTTCTCTTGAAATTACAGATAGAAAAAGCAACAGATTTTGTTTGATCTAAAAATAAGATATGTAGCCATTTTATTTTGTTTCTAATTGGTTTTAA